TAACCCGTTCACGACTTCCTGCACTATTTATAGGCATTGCGAAACGTGTCCAGATTACTATCGCGATATAATGATTTACAATTGGACGATTCCGTCGTTTTTGGCGTTTATCGCGGTGATCAGTTTACCCTATGGTGGACGTCCAAGTCTAAGTGAGTTATAAAAAACTGAATATGTCTTTTAATTTTGTAACATACCGACCTGATGGTTAATAACTGATATTATAATCTATACATATTACCATATACCTTAAATAGCAGTACCTGAAATCCCGGAAACACGTTCAAACAGCGGTAATCAACATCTAGACCAATCGAAAAAGCAGCCGATAGAAAAAGGACAAGAGGCCTTACCTAACTACTCGGTAAATTCATGACGGAATCAATAGTTTATTTTGTCAATACGATCTATCATAATTCATAGTCGATAATATTACACGATTGTTGAGAATAAAACATAAAATTACAGTAAGCAAGTGACTATTTGTATTTAATTATTTAGCGTATAGATAATATATTTTATTATTGTGCTGTTAATGAACTGTAATTTATGTAAAATGCGGTTTTGTCTAGAACAAGAGTCGAACATAAGAGTTCTCTTACGCACTAGAGTTGTGTCATAATTAAATGTTAATGATAGTTGATACTATTAAAACCGTGTTTAGATTAAGGCGTTTAATTTTTAATAGTTTAATTGAATTTAAAAACTGTTGAAATTATGCAATTTTAATCAAAAAAGTTATATTTTAATTCAAATAAGTTAAGTTATAGTACGAATTGTTATTATTATAAATTTTATTTTTAATATAGAATACCTGATATTCTAAATAAAAAGCCAATGTAAATTTGATTTTCGAACGTGATAATAACTGTAGATATTGAAACGTTTTGAGAACAGGTCAAGTCAAATATATATATATATATTTTTTTTTTTACTTGTTTTTTAATAAGAATTTTAATTTAAATGTTATTTTGTACATAATAAACAAAATTGTTTGTTTTTTTTTTAAATACTTGTTTTTATACAGAGAAACATAATACAGTTAACATTTATAAATACTTTGCTAAAACTATTGTTAAACTAAGTTTTAGTTTTTAACAGTATTTTTTTCTTTTAAATTAAGACTTTTATAAATTATTATACTATATTATTGTTTGATAAGTAGACAATGTTAACGTTTCCCTCCAAAGTTAATTAATTATAAATAACCATTATTCATATTTCATTATTATCTATATTATAAATATTTTATTATTATTACTAAAAACACAATTTGTAAACATTTAAAAATGTATTTTTTTTCTTTTGTTATACTTTATTATATGTTTATAACATTTATTTTTACGTTTCCTCAAATATATAAATTATTTTATAATACCTACTCAGAAATCTATTAGTAAATCAATATATGTATTTAATTTAATATAACTTCGAAAAAATCATCCCACTTACCTGTGACACCTTAAGTATTCAGCCAAAGTAAAAATAATAATATAATTCTCTCTAGTTCATTTTAGACCCCTGAGACGACGACAAAAACTAATTTTATTATTATTGCAATGGTATTTTCTGTCGTCACATTTTAAAACTCGATTATTACATAGTTTTATAGTTTCTAATACCAAATTAGATTTAGTACTTAATATTGTAAATTGTGATAAAGTAGAAGGGTCAAAAGCAAAACATTCTCATTTTCCAATACCTACTTATTAAAATAATCATTAAAAAACAAAAACAATATTACTTACTATGAATTTTCACACAAAACTAGATTTGACCAAATTTATTTGTTTTTTTGTAGTATCTACTTTAAAAAAAAATAAATAATTGAGTTAACTCGAATGTTTCGCATTTATTAGTTAACTCAATTTCTAGATTTTACATTATTTTCTTCTTTTTTAGTTATTTAAAAATCTCTTTTTTCTTAATTTATACATGATAAAATTACATTTTTAAGCAAAAATAGTACGTTTCATAACAAGTATTCCTTAGTCCTTACCATATCACAAGATATCAAAAATACATTCCTAGTTCTTTTATGGAGTGTGAAAGTTTACATCATTACGAACTTCGTTAAAATCGCAAACATTTTCAAATGTTTTAAAGATGAAAATTAAAAAAAAATTTAAATGTAAGATCTAAAATTAGAAAATTATCGGTATAAATTTTTGTTATTTTATTATTATTCATTAAGTATTAAACTATGAAATATTTTGCTATTAATTTAACTATTATTCTCTATACATAATTCAATCTTTAAAATATTTAAACTAATTTTTAGTTTTTTATAGGCATTTGAAATGAACGCATTATTTATTGTTGATGACAATTTTCGAACTCAACAATTGAATTGAAGGTTCAACCATAAGACTTTTTATAACAGTTTAAAAATATAAAATAAATGATTGAATTTATTTTATCAAAACCATGAAAATTCGTAAATTATTTTGTAATTTAAAAATAAAAATTTAAGAATTGAAAATTACAAGATTTCTCTAAAGTTACTACTATAAAAATGTTATATAATTTTTTTTATATAATTTAAAAATATTATTCAAAGAGAATTGAAGCATTTTATTAAGTACTAACTATATTACTATTTTCCATTAACATTTTTATTTTCAAGACACTAAGATCAATTGTAAATACCATAAACACTAATCCTATTCACAGTGTTTAACAATTCATCTATAATGACTTATAAATTAATAAGTCAGAAATATTATTTATTAATTATTTATAAAAAAATATCCTTAGGAATAAAGTTGACAGAGCATACGTGAAAAGAATTATTTTTCATGCTATAAAATAATTTATTCTTAAGTTCTAGTTTAATACAATGAAGTATACTTTACCCTGAATACAACAGTGCATATTTTTTGTTTTTTGCTATATGTCACAAAGTAGTTAAATACTTTTTAACAATTGAATGCAGTTTTACTTTAACAAGTATAAAATTACTCACTAGCATTTAAAATATATTTAATGATTTTAAGAGAGAAATAGTTAATAACTTAAAGGCAATTAAAGAATATTGTATTTTTATCACATTTTAACAACAGATAAAATAAAAATACATGTACCTATTTTTCATTGAATATGAATAATTATTATTCAACAACTTATGTCATTTAAACATACAGGGTAATTTTTTTTTTTTTTTACATGAACCATTCATTAATAAATATTGAGTCAGTGTAAGTTTTTACATAATTAGAATAATGGTTTATTATAATTAGAAGTAATAATAATAAGTCATAATATAACTCTTTTAGGCGTTTTTTGTTGTAAATGTAATCTTACAATAATTGTTCTATGTAAAAACATTTTTTAAACAAAACAAAACTTGATAGAGATTGTGAGTAGTTTATGTTAATAAAATAAATCATAAATTAATAATTATATTATAGTAATTTCTGTTTTATATCCTAATATTTCTTAAAAATAAAAACAAAATGAAAGTTATGTCAAATATACTAGAATTAATTTTATAATGTTTCAATTCTCTCTTTTTTTTTTTTTTATAAATTAATTTATTAAAAAAAAAAAAATAAGGCCCATTATTTTTAAAATTATTGATATTTTATATATACCCTTTACCAATCTAAATATCAATAGTAATTAAAAAATAATAATAATAATAAACAATAATTGTACAAAAATAAACAACAATAATACGCTGCATACCGTTTAAGTTTTACAAAAAAAATAGTGTTATACTTTTTAATATTTCTTATAACACAATAATATTATCAGCAGAGTTTTGATATTGATTTATTTCAAATACTGATGTTTCTTTCCCTGATATAAATGAATAACTGAAGACATAAAATTCTGTTAAAAAGGCAGTTTTGTTTTTTAGCCAAGAGTATATCTTACAAATTACAATATCATAATAACACACTAAATTAAGTGATAACTTAAAAAAAATATTTAATAATAATTATTCATGAGTACAAGAATGCTCACATTTTTACAATTTTTATAATATAATGTTAATAAAAATTTAAGTAATATTCAAATCACTTAGTACAATTTTTTCTAATAAGTTGTCTTCTAATTTTAAGTATAGATTCTATAATCAACAAAAAATTGATTATCTTCTTACAGTGAAACAATATTAATTAATGGAGCAATTGTATGATCAACAATATCTTTTGAAATTATTACCAAATGATTGATAAAGCTAAAAAAAAAAAAAATAAACATAATAATAAACAAAGAGTTGTACGAGTAAACATAATAACTCAAGTACAAATAATTTTAATATTTGTTAGGGTTTAAGTATAGTAAAAAAAAGTTACGAACTAATATTTATATAAAAGTACACCATTTTTAACTATTTAATAAAAGCATAATTTTGCACAACAATCATTGTTGAAGCTATATATTAACAATAAAACAGTTAGTTTAATTTAAATTATTATATATTATTATAATCATAACTATAAATCTAAATGCTTATACATGAATATGCATGATTGCAATATATTATACATACATTCATACACATACAATGTACATACAGCATAGTATATATAAATACTTTTAATATAAACATTATGACATATATAAAGGCATTTTTATAAAAGAGTGAAAAAAAGTGTAACCAGAATACACACCATTTATTAATCTCAACTTGTTACAAAATGTACTCGTACAACTCTTAAAAATAGCCATTTGTTGTCTTTGAATTAAAATCTAAAATTATTTACAAATAACTTTTATAACTTTTATAATAACTATGCGCCACTAATATTGTAACGTTTATGTGGTGCTAAACTTGGTCAAAGCATTTTCAAAATATTACCGAATTATTATTTTAAATTTTAAGTGGCTTCAAAATAAATCATTTAGATTTAAATTACTACCACATCAATTTTAAGTAAAAAAAAATAAATTTTTTTATTTTTAACTGCTTTTTGGTTTAATAGTTTAACATTTGTAAAAAAAAAAGTTTTTGATTAAATTTTATGATTTTAAAATTATAAACCATTAACAACTAAAATTTAGAAAATAACCCAAAGCTTTAATTAAGGTAGTTTATAAATTCAAAGAGCAAAAAAATGAAATAGTATTCCAAATTATTAAAAAAAATTTAACTTTTTAATAAGCTAACAAAGTTTGCGCATTTTTTCAGTAAAATGATACAATTTAACATATAATCTATTTATCTGGACTGCTTAGTTGAGAACATGGAGTTTTGCAAGGACTCCACCCTGGATATAATCGTTCATTTACTTACCCTGCTCAGGTACTAGAAAATACACAACTATTAATTAATTAGGACATTGATGTAAAATTCAGTCACTCTAACTTACCTGAGCCAGATAGATCAAAATTTGGAGTTCCACGTGGACTCCAGCTTGCATTATTGGCAACTGCCTCATCTTCCTCGGTGACTGAAAAGCAAAAAAAATAAATCAAAACTATTAACAATCGGCAAACAATGGATACACTTAGACAATTTAACTTACTCATATCACTCCAATTGGTAATGTTAGAGTGTGTCGTTTTCGGACTTATTAGCTGCTGTCCTGTTGGAATGGATCCTTTGTGCAACACCCTAACGACGATAAAACAAACAAGAACAAAAACAAAATAAGGTTAGAAATGTACATCTATTGTTTAGCGGGCCACTGTCGACAACGACAGCGGTCAAAGTGTAGTGATGATAATGATAGTAATGGTAGTAATAATAATAATAATAATAATAATAGACAATATATAGTATTAGTAGGTAGGTATACTGATTTTTTTTTCGAAGTCCACAGCACATAGTCCTCCCGCTTGAAGTGTTCAGAACATATCCTAAAACTCTTAGACACCTGGCTGGAACCGTGGTTTTTGAACTTCTGAATGACTTTGTCGTTCTGGCACAGTTCGACCCATTGTTTACATCTGTGAAAAGTGGGGTGAAAAAAAAATTAAGCACGCGGCGTTAGTGGAACGGCCGAAGTCATCGAAAAACACTCACAGGCTTTCGTTGGTCGGGAACTTGTGGAACGACAGGTTCTGCGTACTCCGACTCGAGTTGGTGCATTTGTTGAAACAACAGTTCATGTGCGACGGCATCGTGTGGTGGTCGTCGTCGTCGTCGTCGTGCGCGCGGCGGCGTTCGGCGGGCGCGCAGCGGCGGCGGCGGCGATGTGTTACGGTACGTCCTACTGTGCTCTGGGGCACACACGCGCGAACGTCGCGGAAACGGGGCCGACGGTGGAGAAATTGAGATACGCGCGGCTCAAGTCTGAGGAATTTTTTTTTTTTTTTAAATTAAAACGTTGTTTCACGCGCTGATAACGGGCTGCGTGATAACGGATCGCATTGGCGGCATCGTCCGCCAGGCAGTGTGTTTTATTTTTCCTTTCTTCGACCCGTAAAACTGCACTGTGCGTGGCTGATGGCACCCGACGCGAAATCTTATTATTTATCTGGTACTTCGAACGGACACTACAACAATGGTACGAACGTACTATATTAATAATATTATACGACGACTACGTGCGTACGATAGTATGTTACGCGAACGCACGCGCTAGCGCTCACACGTAACGTTTGGGTAACGCGTGCGTACGTGCGCCTTAGTGCGCGTGCGCGTACATTCACGATTCGTGTGCGTGCGTAAGTCGGGCGGCCATTGTGAGCCAGCCGTAGTACCTCGTACGTGTGTTGTCTGCCGTGCGGGTTACCACTTACCTCGACCGTACACGTCGTTGTCCGCGTGTGCCTCGCGGCAGCCCCCGAAATCACATGTAAATAAACGCACACGCATACACTCACAATATATTTTACCGACAACGTGTGCCCGTCCCGCCGCTGACCCACGGGGCCCTGTTGCTGTGTGTTTTCGGGCGGCAAGTACACAAATAATAATATGAAGTATTCTTATCGAAGCTGTGGCCTCAGTCCTTCGAGAAGTTATTACGATAATTTTAATGATTTCGTTCGTATGCGGACTGTTGCGGTTCGTCGTTTGGTTGGTGGCAGGGTGTTTTTTGGCTCTTGTTCTTTCTCTCTACGCCTTATTAGCCTACCTACCACAAAATTCTAAACGTGTAGATAGACCGAAACATTAAAATTAATGAGTTTAGTTATGAAAATCATTTTACGTATATTTTAATATGTAGGAAGGTAATTTTTATTTATCAATTATTGGTATGCATGAGCATGAGAATAACTATTATTTCTTACTTTGCAACTTTTCAGTTTTTTTTTTTTAAATTCATATAATCATCAAGTATATGTAAAACTATTCAACCCTCTATGACTATAATATGTGCATACATAAATAATACATGAAGTTCATGTATTTACTATTATGAAAAAAAAATATTAATATTTGGCCCTTTCTGAACTCCTTGCAAAGACCGATATTCTACAGCCTCACATATTATATACAACCAAAGCCACCCCAAAATTTCACAAGACCATGAAAAAATTATTGTGAAGACCCCACAATCGTTAAAAGTTATAACACATGATAAAATAACCAATGAGGTTTGCAAAATGTTGACAAATCCATGTATATTTATTATTTTTCTTCGCACTCCGCTAACATGACAATAATGAAATATAATTTATGAAAATAAGTTACATACAAAATAAAATTTAAGTTTTGAAGTGAAAGGCTGTAGTAATGGGTAACGACGAGTGAAGAGTATCTACCTAATTCTAATTTTAAATTATTCTAACATAAATTAATTTTGAAAACTATGTTAACGAGGATTTTTTTAAGGAGGCTTTAGAAATTTTTTTTTAAATAAAATCTAAAACAAAGGTCCCGTTGCCCTCCCCCATCTGAATGGGTTAGCGTATAATATGCCTACATGGAATAGGTGTAACACATTTTAACACGTATTCAAACATTTAACAAACAATTGTATATACGGTTTTGACACATTTATGAAAATTTAATATAGCATAAAATAAAAACACTTTTATGTGTAAAACTATGATTATTTAAAAATAAATAGTATTGTAAAAAAAATAACAAATAAATGTAATAAAAGAAAGTATAGAGAAATCTATATCGTGGAAATAATTAAATAGAAAAAAAATAGGACGTTTTAGGGCAAGAAAAATAATTTAAATGCATCATTCAGTAATACACGTTCAATCACATAAAAATCTAATTTTAAATTTGAAAAATAAATATTAGGTATATAATTATATTATTGTTAAACTTAACGTCTAAATTCAAACTGAATATTTCATACGATTATTATAATAGTCACGATTATTGCTACCCAGGTTATTTTATCTCATAATATTATATTATTAAATTAAAAGTTGGATCAAGTTTAATAATCGTTGCTGTCGATTCGGTGGGAATTACTTGGATCGATATATTTATATTATAATGGTAGCAGGTAAACGGGGGGAGACCGCGTACGACATGAATATTCTAAGAACTATTGATAAAAGTACAAAACTATAAACATATTTTTGGAATACTGTTGTAGTGCAACCTTGTGGTGTCAACGCCAATAGGCTCAAAATGAAATGCACCCAAACATATTCCACCCATATGGAATAGGTAGATATGGTGCATGTATATTATTATGGTACGACTACGTTCTTTCTTTTAATAATAATTTTAAATATATATTATATTAGCTTTAGTCGTTGGAATAGACGTTGATTTCTCGAAATGGATATGCAGTATACACCACACGCAATCTTTATTCACGTGATGACTATTTATTTCTGGCATTTCAGTAGGTACTTCATGTGGGCATATAATATAACGTCATAATACGTCACATGACATGGTTAACGAGGTTGTAGCCATTCCAGAAATTTTAGAAAATTCAAAAATTCTTTTTATGTTTTATGCGGTAAGGTGAATTGTAGCGCAATCCCCAAATAAAGTGGGAATTGCACCCCAAGCTTCTCAGAGGATTGTATGATTTGCATCCACATAATAATGAAAATAATGTATATATTACGTATACACATCACAATAAATATTTTTATTAAAATAAGTATTGAAGTAATTTACTAAATTAATATTAGGTATTTTCCAAAATTCGTCTGTAAAGTAGTCTATGACGTTACTAAAAGCTCCAAAAAATGGCAATCCAAAGAAATATTTTAAATAACGAATAGATTAGTAAATCTTAAACTTTTGATTTTCCTCCACCAATTAAACCTAACCCTAAATTAAATCGTCATATTATTTGTGTATTAGAAAAGGCTTCCGCTACAGCACTTTATATTGCTGGTTTAAAATAAATTGATCTTATATCTTTATCATATTATACAAAGATAGAACATTAGAACTGCCCAAACATGTTGAACTTTTTGTTTATTGTTTATCGTTATGTAACCACCACCGTATTAGTACATAGGTAATGATAATTAATCTGGCCGCAACTCACAACTAAAATATTGTCGGACTAAAATTCACCACCTTCCAACATCATAAACGATACGTCGGACCGCAACTCACTTACAACCGTTTTGTAAACGTATTACTTTAGAGTTTAGACCTAAATGCATGTATTAAAATTAAATTTAAATTTGAATAATGGTTACTGCAAAAATCTAAAAATATGTTATATGCCTTTGGCATTAATACACGAAACTTATGGAAATCTTAGTTAAGCTCAATTAAGTATATCATATTATCAGCCGGCTTTACATTTAAACAAGGCTAAATATGCCACTATATTATAGTTATAAAATTATATAAAGACAGTTCTTCGCCATTGTGCACATCATTTAATATATATATATCGTGATAATAGATTTATTATTGTGTGCATTTATTGCAGTAACTAGTAAGTACACTAACGTCTACCACCTGTATTAACATACACTGATGAGGTCTTCAAACGGGTCAAGTGGGTAAGAGTAATCCATTATACTTTGTTATAAATAGGTATAAAGATAAGGATATTATTTTCTGTCCCAAATTGGCTTTTTAGATATTTTAATTTTTAAATACGTTTCTAGTATTTTTACATTAGAGTATTAGATACTGATGTGACGAAGTCTTATAAAAATAATTATATTATTATTTATAATAAACATTCAATTTAAAACTAGATATATGCAAAGACTAAATTTAAAGTTGTTAACCTTTGGTTTCAGTGTTTTTACTCACAAATGGGTTTAGGGACGCTCCTAAAGTCCTAAATAATATAATAATGTACCTATGTATAATATATGTGATATGCCACTGTATAATATATAAGAGTAAAGTTGGTCAATAATAAATCTCAACGGACGTTCTAATAATACTTCGAAGACAAATTATATTATATTATAGTGACTTTATCATGCGCTATACGAAATATTGTATTACACTATTACCTATATGGCTATATTCATCATGATATTAATAAATACAGTTTGTGTCAAGGACAAATAACAATCTCTCTTGTCTTTTTTCTTCTGAATGGCTGAATATTATACTATAATCGTTTTTTTTTCACACGTTTTCATTTGAAACCTGCATTCGTTATATTTTGTCAAACGTAGTGCTGCATCAGCAGTAACTATATCAAATGTTACATTAAGCGTTGTATACATACCAACAATTATCGTAAAAAAGATATATTATCGAATCGTATCATAATATTGTATAGAAACAAGTGTAGTGTGCCCATGTATAGAACATTTTTTCATCAATAGAATGAGAGAAAGAACTAAGGTATTTCGTTTAAAAACTACCCTGTTGGTAAAAACCCGCCGTCGGCGGTCCATTCAAATGTTTAACAATTGTCTTTTTATGCTATAAAATAAATAATAATACATAACATACTCTTATAGTTACCCAGTATCCAGTTGTTAATATATATATATATCACTATTAATTTTGATGGAATTTACAACTCCAGTACAAACTATATTTATTGAAACGTCAAATATTTTTATTAGGGTATATCTATAAGTATTTCGTCTCATGGTGACTGTACCTTAAAACTGTAAGTGCGAGAGAATATAATATGTCCAACCACGTTTGTTCATGACCGGATGAATCTTGAACAAACTGTTGGTTCAAATATTTCTGTAATAATTCTTCTATTATCCAATGTATAGATTACCAGGATAATGAAATTAGGAAGATTGATGTAGAAGATCATTGTATTATATTATTTAAATTGTTAACCTTAACTAATAAAATTGAAGAATTAATAAAGTTAATACTTCAAAATGCTTGTAGTTTGTAAATTTTCGTGATTTTGACAACTTCAGATACACTTAAAAAATCACGCATAAGTATTTTAATATTTTTACACAGACTTAGAATAATTTATGTATGATCTTATATTAAGTTTTTAATAGAGTCAAAATATTTTTAAAAAATTATACCACATGTAAAAAAGGCTAAATAAAAATTTGGTAAAAACTATAAGTATCTATGGTAATTTACTTTTAAATTATAAAAAACAAAATTATGAGTTTCTCGTTACAAAATATTTGTAGCTTGAAAATTTTTAAGGTTTTGACAAATTGTGTCGAAAATTCTTTTAGCAAATGTTATAAAAAAATATTTCGACTATACATTTTCAATAGATTTTAGTTGTGTAATGAAA